TACCACTGAAATAATCGGCAGTTTTTCGTTTCTGGACGTAACTTGCTTGCTCTGTGTAGCCCTCCTGCTCCTGCTCCTACTCCTACTCCTACTACGACGACGACGACGACGACTACTACTACTGCTACTACAACATGAAGGACTTTTACTACCACTGTCAAAACCACCACAACAACATCTGTACTAGCCGCGAGAGTATTTCTGGCCTAATTCATGCCCATGTGGTTTGGATTGTGAGGCAGGGCAGTGCATGACCTCTTCCAGTCCTCGGTACAAGCTGCTGCTCGCAGGGCGCAGTTTAACCAAACACTCAATTGTCGATGTTGCGCGCACGGAAATAATGAGTGAGATGATGGTCGACCGGTTGTGGATGTTTGATCCCCGACATCGCTGTATGGATCTGAACGGTTTGCAATGGTCGTTTCGCTACAGTCCTCATATAACTGTACTAGCTGTTAATCTTTAATGCCAACCTTGCCGCCTGTTTAGTGACTGTGAACTAACTAGTTGGAGGCTGAAGCTGCAACACACCGATTCTTATGCAGGTACCGGACCTACGGATTAAAATTCCTGCACCTTTATTACTACAAGTCGTTTTGCTTTCGGGTTTTGGGTTTTGATAACCAGAACCCCTAAACTACACCACTAGAATACAGGAACCTGATGAAGAAACGTTGGGTCTTTATTTGGTTTCTCAATCAGGGTCTTGCATTACACCCTAAACCATCCTAAACACTCCGGTTCCCAGGGCAAGGCATATCCACCGGACTGAGATTTGGGGCTTCCGCGCTCCTCGGCAAGCAAAGGTTAGGGTGTAGGGAAGCTGTGGAGCCAGGGCGTTTCAAATTTTCCAGCGCTTGGGTCCTTAGGGCCGTCGGGCATTGGGTTTATAGGGTTGCTTTCTTTGGGTTCGGGCCCCCCGACACGCTATGGTAGCAACCAGCTATGTCGGCAAAGACGCGTCTCAGCAATTAAAATCTCGATTTTTCATGTTTCCGTACATTGCTTCATTGTTGGCCGCTCATGGATGAGAGCTTATAAATAGTCTATGTTCTAACACCTCGCCATGTTGCATGCATGTATGTACGTATGCATGCATGTATGTACGTACGTACGCATGTGTATCTGTATATGTGTGTGTGTGTGTCTCTGTCTGTACGTGTGTATGCATGTATGTATGCATGCATGCAAGGATGTATGTGTGTATGTCCATATGCACGCGTGTATGCATGAATGCATGTAACTATGTATGTATGTATGGATGGATGGATGTATCTGTGAATAGCGAGAGAGAGAGAGAGAGAGAGCGCGAGGGAAATGCGCATGCAGGTAGTACAAATTTAAAGTAAGTGTAAATAAGCAGGCATGTTCATGTCATAGCATATCGTATCAGCCCCTAAGTGTGTGTACATATATATATATATATATTTATTTATTTATACATATTATGTATGTATGTATGTATGTATGTATGTATGTATGTATGTATGTATGTATGTATGTATGTATGTATATATATATATATGTGTGTGTGTGTGTGCGCATATGTGTTCATGTGTACGTACGTGCACGTGTGTATGTATATATATATATATGAAACTAAATATACTGTATACGCACAGATGCATACATGGTAAACCCATAAACTCGAATCATTGACCGCTCAGCATGAGGGACCCGCTGACCCTAACCCCCCAGGTACGTACTATATAGGGTACTGGAGCCCCTAAGGCCCTATATAGTAGGTACCTGGAGGGTTAGGGTGAGCCAGATCGTGGAAATTAGGGCGTTGATATCGGTTCACGTACGCAGGGCTGGGAGTTTACGGTGGGCCCGATATAGATCCAGGCTTTGGGGCTTGCCGACCGCCGACCGCGCTCAGACTGACCCACAATCCTAAACATACGAAGAGTCCGACGATGGCAGAGTCCCAGTACACTGCAATCCTTGAACCGGCAGTCTTCATTCTTAGGGCCACAAAGCCTCAAGCC